TTTCGCTCAAACGCAGTACTCCCATGTCTTGTACACCTTTGCAATCATTGTAGAGCGACATATTACAATCCGCTGGCCTAAGCATGATTAGATCTGCAAAGTCGGAACCCTGTGCAGATAGCGTCACACGTGAACTTACACCTCTTTGGTTCAGCCGTGTGTTTAGGGGCTGAGGCTTTTCTTCTGAAGGCCCTTATCCAACTACACGAAGCTAGAAGTCCTCTACCAGGAGGAGGCAGGGATGTGGCTTAGGGGTGAAAAGCCCTAAACCCTAAACCCCNNCCCAAACCCTAACCCCTACACCCTAAACCCCAAACCCTACACCCTAAACCCTAAACCCCAAACCCCAAACCCTACACCCTAAACCCTAAACCCTAAAAGAGCTCTTCGAGCTGACTCCGCTACTGTTGTGGGTTTCCGGAGGCCTTCGCTTTGCAGCCCGGAGCCGAGTACTGAGTGGACAGAAACTTAGATGGGGTTTAGGGTTTAGGGTTTAGGGTTTAGGGTTTAGGGTTTAGGGTTTAGGGTTTAGGGTTTAGGGATTTAGGGTCTGGGGAGTTGATCCGCCTTCTCCAAGCACCAGAGCTTTAGGTGGCTCACAGCTGGCCCTCCCATAGCTTGCTCATGCATGCCCAGAGAGCCCAATACCCCTTAAATAAGGAATATACCTTAAATTATAGGGGCCTTAATATTATGATTTAAGGTATATTCCTTATTTAAGGGGTATTGGGCTTTCTGGGTGAAGCCTCTTAGGATGCAGATGTCCCCTTAGCTCTTTGCTTCTAAGCCGCATCCAAGAACCCCAATCACCTGTACTGAGGATAAGAGCGATACACAGCCACAGGGCTTTGGAAAGCTTACGAGTATCGGCTGGAAGCCGCAGGTGGGGCGGTGCCAATCTGGGCTCTAAGAGGAGGGGAGGATTTAGCCCTAGCTGTAAGGGGGCCCGAGACCGTCCCGGAAAGCTGCAAAGTGCTGAACATGCCGACTCGGGAGTTCTGAGTTTTGATATTTTGGTTGCTCCCCCGACATGTCCCTTGAGCCCAGCGAGGCACTTCTCGTTTCAGGGCGGACAGGACTCTCGCGCATTAGACAAAGAATACAAAGCCTCAGGCGCTGAAACCTTCTGGCGATAGAAATAACGATGGACTAAGCTAGGAGATGGGTATTTCTCTAAAGTCCGGTCCCCTTAAGGGCCCTTGTTATAAGGGTGCCGTACTATATTGGGGACCTACAAAGGGACCCTAATTTGGAGAACTACCTATATGGCATCTCAACAGCTGAGACAAGTCTGATCTGATTTAGGTGTTCAGGGATAGCTTTGGCTTGGGTTGCCAGTCTCCCGCGGCAGGGATACAAGTGCATCGCGCGAGGGCTCAGGGTTTATGGTTTAGGAAACTTGTACTCAACAGCCTGAATCCGAAATTTGAGCTGAGACCTGCGACCTATATTCTCGTCCAATGCTTGAAAACGAAACGATCAGCTGGGTTACAAAGATCAACTTCTAGTAAATTATACTCAGTCACATGCCTAACCGCCACCTCGCAACTGCAGAAAAACTATGCTGCCAAGACTGGGGCTTGTAGGTACACACTATATTCTACTTCTTTGACGGCAGATCCAGGCACACTGGGATGACCGCCTTTGCGCAGTGTTTGGCCTACGCTGGCATAACAGGTTACATGACAGAGCTTGTACTGGAAGAAAACGTAGTGATTGCTGGGGGGCTATATAGCGAAGTATCAAGCATGTAGACGTGATTTTCCAGACATTGGAATGTTGTGTCTTGCAACTGGCTCGCACCACACTTTCTGATCATCCTCGGCAGATGGTAACAAGTAGTGACCATGTCATTCCGTTGCTGGGTAGTCGCGATGATGATGATGATGGTGATGATGATGATGATGATGGCATTAGTACCAACTACTACCAGTATCATCGTGCACCTGTCTCAGCCACGGGAGGGTTGCGAATGCTTTTCACCGGCGCAAGATCAGCCATAAACGAGTAGCAATCATCCAAATGTCAACAAATTTCGCCCTCCGTCTCTCCACCAAGAACCGCTGTCATACGACCTACCGTTCACGCCCTGTAGCTTTGCTTTTCCGTGCCTTGAAAACACAACATGGGTGTGTGCCACATTAAGAACATGAAACCCGGCACTCTGAACTGAAAGGTCTAAATCCTATCTTCCGAAACCCGAAACCCCAAATCTCATTCCTTCCTTCCTTCATCCCAGTCGGCCCCTCGCTCACGAGCAGTGGAGCCGCAAGTCTAGGTTCCTCCAGGCCGGGCTTTCAGGTGTTGGGCTTCTTGCTGGGTTTATTCGGCGCAAAGGGCTTACAGGTGGTTTTTGGAAGCTCTACGGTAAGAATCGGTCGGGTTGGATCCTTTGCTGCATTGGTAACGAACAACTACATCACATAACACGCAAAATTCCGAAAGCCCAAAATCCTACATTCAACCCCGCTGTTGGAGAAACTGAAACCCCTAAACCCTACAGGGCTCCGAGCTCTTGGGCTTGAACGAGGGCAGACTATCGCAGCCGAAGGCAGCCTAGGATAGCACGAGCAGACTCGTGCGATGAAGAAGACAAGGGCTCCTAGAGGATATGATCTTATGATCATGCTTAGTCCTTATTATATAGCTTCAAAAGTAGAACTTGATAAATCAACAATGTTATAAGAGAAAAATTTTAGACGAAGCCACGGCCAGGGTTTGGTGGACATTGTACTACTTGCAGAAAGTTAGAAGGGAACAAGATTTAAAGATCGTCCAGAGCCACGATCGAAGACTCAAACGACTTGCCAGGGCTGTGTCCACTGCCTCCCCAGTAGCCGTGGCAACAACGGCTAGATCCCGAGCCTGTGGCTCGGGATCTATGAAAGCTTGCTGAAACAATCATCAAGCCCTAAGGCTTAAACCCTCGTCCCCCAATGTATCCCTAAACCCTAAACCCTAAACCCTAATATCATCCACGGTTAAGGCTTAAGGGCGTGCGTTTGGCAATTAGGATCCCGAACCTGAGTTTCGCAGTCAAGGTTCCTCCGCAGCGTCTGAAAAAATCCTGTTCAACATCGTCACCTTCCGCAGTTTAGGGTTTAGGGTTTAGGGTTTGGGATTTTGGGGCTTCACGGGTTCGGGGTGTCGAAGGACTTCAGTCAGGGCTTCAGGGTCTAGGGCTTCAGGGTTTCATATCGTGCTTGGGGCTTGGGGCTTCAGGATTGCGACACCCCACATTACCCAGGGACTCCAAAACCCCTTAACTAAAGAATATACCTTAAATCAAATTAGGGATCCTATAATAATTTAAGGTATGTTCCTTAATTCAGGGGTGTTGGAGTCTCTGGGTACACTACGCGCGGAGACGGACCCGAGGATCTCAAGCCCTTGAAAGCCAGCGGTCTACGGAGATCCGAAAGGCGCAGGAACGGCCGGCGGATTCAAGATACTCTGCTTCCACGTGTTAGGGTTTAGGGTTTAGGGTTTAGGGTTTAGGGTTTAGGGTTTAGGGTTTCAGGGTTTTCGAGGGTGTTGTATACTTCGGTAGGGCTTTCATGTCTTGAAAACCTTCTCGAAGATAAAAGCCCCAAAGACCTCAACCCTTGCGACGCCGAAACCCTCGAACCCTAGATTCTCATACCTGAGATCCTGAACTTCAAAAGCGCCAAACTCAGAACCACTCCGCCCCGGAAGGCCCCACTGTCCCAACTACCCTGGGTCAGCTGCAGATCCCCAAAAGCATAGTAACGAGGAGCACAAGAGACTCTACAACAAAAGGGCGCGTGTCACCGTCTTCTTCCTATCTCCGACCAACGTTAAGCCCCAACTCCTCAAGCCTGAACTCCCCTAAACCCCGAAACCCTAAAGCCCAAACCCTAAACCCTAGACCCTAAACCCTAAACCCTAAATCCCCAAAGCCCTAAACCCTAAACCCTAAACCCTAAACCCGACTCAAGGCCCCTCCCCCATGGGCCCGGCCTTCAGAAAGCCTGCACAAAAGCCTTGAGCCGGGCATCCCGGAGCTTCGCTGCAGCGGTCTCGAGCTGCGCGTTCACCTGCATCGCTGCACCCAACACAAGTAGGGTTTTTTTGTTTTTTTAAGTAGGGTTTAGGGTTTAGGGTTTAGGGTTTAGGGACCCAGCAAAAGTAGGTGTTTTTTTAAGTAGGGTTTAGGGTTTGAAACAGAAACTGCTTTCAGTGAGGATTTCTGCAACTGGGGGAGGTTTCAAGGGTTCGTGTTTAGACGCTGCTTCGGGCTCTGAGTTGGTGTTTTCGGTTTACACGGCACGCAAGCGTCGAAGCCCACAAAGACCTCCGTGGTGGGGGGAAGGATTTCTGGATTGGGTTTAGGGCTTTGGATAATGTAGGGGCCTCAATAATTAGAATAGGCTTTGAGGTATATTATACTATAATCATAATAAGGAACCCCACAATACTATGGGTCATTATTTAGGCTCCTATATTATCAAGCGCGGTTTTTCGAGTCGAGGGCTCCTGCAGGCGTGTTCATGGGTCCGGGTTGACGGCAGTTTTGTAGAGTTGGATGTTGTGATGGGGAACCCTGAAACTGGTTCCCTGTTGGGGCTATGTTTAAAAATTATATTTGTTTATCCCGATTGGGTTTTATTATAACAAAAATGTAAAATTGTAGCCAATATGGACCCAGGAAACCCGAAACGTCTTTGCAGGTTGAGTGAGCTCCGGGTGTCTGACCAGTCGCAAGCTGGGCTCGCAGAAATTGAGCCCGCGAATTCTCGTGATGCCCTTTAGGTTACGGGTTAGGTTTCAAAGGTATTCAGCCGCATGAGTGGCCTGGGATCGTAAAGTTGGACAGCCTGGAGCGCGTGCAGGGCAGGGCTGGTGACAGGGACAAAGGCGGAGGGGTGCTGATCATCCGCGCCAGTGTCTGCGTCATCTGATTTCTGTCCCTCCATGCACTCCCCATACCTGAAACCGAAAACTCAGCGAAACTCTCCCTAAACCCTAAACCCTAAACCCTAAACCCTGGCACAAGCCTTGTCTACGTAGGAGTTGGCTGCACTGTCGCCCGTAGCAGCAATCGGCTTGCTGCCCAAGGATTCGGGCAAGGAGTAGCCAACCTGCACTTGTGGGGGTTTAGGGTTCAGGGTTTAGGGTTTAGGGTTTAGGGCGTCTTCTTGCGCAGTGGCCGATAATCCATGGAAAGTTTGTGGGTGGCGGCATACTTCGCGTGAGGCGACTTCTTGTGTGCTTTGATTTAGAACTCGGTGCAACCGGAAGTTCTTTTTTCCCGCCCGCTGTGATGATACC